CAGCCGAGGGGGCTAGTAGTGAGGCGGAGACCCTACTTGATGATGAGGAGGTTGATCGCACTTGGCAGCCTCGTCGTCATCAGGCAATTTCTTCCGCATCATCAGGAGAAGAGGGTGGCAGCTTGGCAGCGAGCAAAACAGTCGGTGGGTTGCCCAGAGACAGCAGCAGGGTCGCAGCAGTGTCAGTGGAGCAGTTGTCAAAGTGGCCACGGAGTAGAGCACCAGCTCCACTGCAGCCTACCACCACGGCCAGTAGTGGTGCCGGTGTGCACGGAGGAAGCAGCAGTCCCAGCCAGTGAGGAGTATCGGGGGCAAAGTTTCCTACTCGGACGGCGGTGTGGCAATTTTTCGTCAAGCCGCCCGAGGAAGTAAACGTAGCCGTATGTCGACTATGTGGCCAGAAAGTCAAGCGTGGCCAGGGGGCCCATGTTGGGACTACAGCGTTTGCGGTCAGCATATGCAGCGTCGCCATTTGGTGGCCTGGGAAAACCGTGATAAAGATACGGCGGTTTCTGCCCGCTCCCAGTGCCCCCGCTCCATCCTCACCCGCTCCGTTTACTTGCTCCGTCACCCGACGTCAATCGCCCTCCTATCAGCCAGTCAAGGCTCCAACACCTCTGCTGAGGGGAGTTGTCGCTCGTTGGCATCTTCCGCTCGTTCAGATGCTCCTCATCTCCTGCTACTCCTCTTCACGGATTCCGTCAGCAGTCTTTCTTGGAATCCGTTTCCAAGAGACAACAGTTTTGCGAGCACGCACCCGACGGTGCAAAAGCTGAACGTCCTCCTGTCCAAGTTGCTGGTGCTGCAGTCCCTCCCTTTCCAAGTGGTGGACTCAGCACCTTTCCGAGAAATGATGGCTTGTGCCGCGCCGCGGTGGAGAGTGCCAAGCCGCATTTCTTCGCCAAAAAGGCAGTGCCAGCCCTGCATTCACATGTAGAAGAGATGGTGGGCCAGTCCTTTGAGCATGTCGGTCTCTGCCAAAGTGCACGGCAGCCGACGTGTGGAGCTGTAACTACGGTCAGGGACAGTACATGTCATTTACGGCCCACTGGGTGAACGTGGTGCCGGCACAGCCGCACCACAACTTGGACAGGTCACGCCGCTTTTGCCTCCACGTTTGCACGTCCTTGTCCGGCAAAGATGTCCGCCTCTACCACCTCTTCTTCCGCCGTGTCCTCAGCCGCCACACCCCCCCGTGCCAAGTCCCATTACCCGACCGGCATATCACATGTGCAGGGCGCAACGGTGTCACGCTGTGCTGCACCTGGTATGCCTTGGCGAACGTAGTCACACAGGGGAGGAACTTCTGAGTGTAATGAACAGAGAAATCGACAGATGGCTGTCTCCGCGCAAACTGAAAATCGGAACCATGTTGACCGACAACGGAAAGAACATGGTGTCTGCTCTGCGTCAAGGAAGGTTGTGCCATGCGCCATGCGCCATGCATGGCTCACGTGTTCAATCTGGTTGTCAAGCGGTTCCTAAAATCCACCATCCCACTGCAAGACATCCTTAAAATGTCACGTAAACTTTGCATGCATTTCAGCCATTCCTACACCGCAAAGCACACCCTCCTTGAGCTGCAGCGGCAGCAGAACGGAATTCCACAGCATCGCCTGATCTGCGACGTTGCAACAAGGTGGAATTCAACCCTACACATGTTAGACCGCCTTTACGAACAGCGAAAGGCCATCACCGATTTCCTGATGTTACAAGCGGATAAAGGTACTCCCCTGTGTAACTTCGATGTCAGCCATTGGCAGCTCATGCGTGACACCTGCCGCTTGCTCAGGCCCTTTGAGGAGGCCACGCTATTCGTGAGTCGGCAGGACTATGGGATGAACGACGTCATTCATTCCTCTGTTGCACGTCCTGGAACAAATGCTGTTAACAATGGCTGGTCAGGGTGCGGTAGACGTGGCGCACAGATCTCAACGCCACATGACCCCTGTGGGGGCAGGACAGGAAGAAGAGGAGGAGGTAGAGGAGGACATTGGTGCTCAGGAATTATTGAGTGAAATGGGTGGTTTTTCCACTCAGCGGACAGGAGTGGAGGAGCAGGAGCATCTGGTAGAGGAGAGGAGGAGGAGACAGAGGACCCAGACGCACCGTGGCAGTATGCTGTGGAGATGGGAGGCAGGGAGTCCCTCGCATTCCTTGGCACAAATGGCCCATAGCATGCTCGGTTGCTTGCGTAGCGACAGCCGAATAATAACCATCAGACAGAGGGATGACTTTTGGCTGTCCACCTTGTTGGACCCTCGCTACCGTTCAAAAATGGTGGCCTTTTTCACACCTGCTGAGAGGGAGGCCAAAATAACGTACTATAAAAACCACCTATGTAGTCAGTTGGTCTCTGCCTTTGTGCGCCAACGTCCATCCTCAGACACTGTGGGCCCTGTGCGCTCGCGTTCCGCTGCCATGGCAGCAGCAGGGAGGGGTGGGGTGGTAGGAGCAGTGGCAGCTCCACCAGCAGCGGCTGCCTCAGTCTGCAGTCGATGATGAGTAGCTTTCTTCCAGCGCAGTGAGGAAACTACTAACCAGCCGCAGCAGCAGCAGCAGCATCACAGTGGACCTGGAGCAGGACCTCAAACAACAGGCTTGGGCCTACTTGGACAGCACCCTGCCAACCGAGGTAGACAATCCCCTTGACTACTGGGCAACGAAACTTGACCTTTGGCCCCAACTAGCTGAATTTGCCCTTGAAAAAGGCTGTCATGCCCGGCCAGTAGCGTGGCATCGGAGCGCGTGTTTAGTGCGGCAGGAGGTATTGTAACTCTCCGCGGAGGACACGACTGTCCACCCAAAGTGTGGAGAGACTCACGTTTTGAAAATGAATCAGGCGTGGATTAGTCTGGATTTCAAACCACCAGTTCCTGACACAACTGACTAAATCCGCCATGAATCATGCCCCAAACATGTGCCACTTTCAGGTCTCCTCACACTGCTGGTGGTTCCATTTTTGTCATAGGTGCTGGCAGATTACGGGCCCCCATTGCTGCTGCCAGGCCCTAATCTGCCATGGCCCTGTACGTACCGCCTCCTCTCATGCTGCTGCCAGGTCCAGAGTGTGTCATGGGTCCCTGTACGGCCTCCCATTGCTGCTGCTGTCTCCATCGCCACACTCTGCCATGTGCCACTTTTCAGGTCTCCTCACACTGCTGGTGTGTTCCATTTTTTGTCATAGGGTGCTGGCAGATTACGGGCCTCCCATTGCTGCTGCCAGGCCCGTAATCTGCCATGGGCCCCCGTACCGCCTCCTCATGCTGCTGCCAGGTCCAGATCTGTCTCATGTCATGGGTCCCCTGTACGTACGGCCTCCCATTGCTGCTGTCTCCATCGCCACACTCTGCCATGTGCCACTTTCAGGTCTCCTCACACTGCTGGTGTGTTCCATTTTTTTGTCATAGGGTGCTGGCAGATTACGGGCCTCCCATGCTGCTGCTGCCAGGCCCCTAATCTGCCATGGGCCCCTGTATACCGCCTCCTCATGCATGCTGCTGCCAGGTCCAGAGTCTCTCATGGGTCCCTGTACGGCCTCCCATTCTGCTGTCTCCCATCGCCCACACTCTGCCATGTGCCACTTTCAGGTCTCCTCACACTGCTGGTGTGTTCCATTTTTTGTCATAGGGTGCTGGCAGATTACGGGCCTCCCATTGCTGCTGCCAGGCCCGTAATCTGCCATGGGCCCCTGTACCGCCCTCCTCATGCTGCTGCCAGGTCCACAGTGTCTCATGGGTCCCTGTACGGCCTCCCATTGCTGCTGCTGTCTCCATCGCCACACTCTGCCATGTGCCACTTTCAGGTCTCCTCACACTGCTGGTGGTTCCATTTTTTGTCATAGGGGTGCTGGCAGATTACGGGCCTCCCATGCTGCTGCCAGGCCCGTAATCTGCCATGGGGCCCCCTGTACCGCCTCCTCATGCTGCTGCCAGGCCAGGTCCAGAGTCTCTCATGGGTCCCTGTACGGCCTCCCATTGCTGCTGCTGTCTCCATCGCCACACTCTGCCATGTGCCACTTTCAGGTCTCCTCACACTGCTGGTGTGTTCCATTTTTTGTCATAGGGTGCTGGCAGATTACGGGCCTCCCATGCTGCTGCTGCCAGGCCCTAATCTGCCATGGGCCCCTGTACCGCCCCGCCTCCTCATGCTGCTGCCAGGTCCAGAGTCTCTCATGGGTCCCTGTACGGCCTCCCATTGCCATTGCTGCTGTCTCCATCGCCACACTCTGCCATGTGCCACTTTCAGGTCTCTCCTCACACTGCTGGTGTGTTCCATTTTTTGTCATAGGGTGCTGGCAGATTACGGGCCTCCCATTGCTGCTGCCAGGCCCGTAATCTGCCATGGGCCCCCGTACCGCCTCCTCATGCTGCTGCCAGGTCCACAGAGTCCTCTCATGGGTCCCTGTACGGCCTCCCATTGCTGCTGTCTCCATCGCCACACTCTGCCTGCCATGCCACATTTGCCACTTTCAGGTCTCCTCACACTGCTGGTGTGTTCCATTTTTTTGTCATAGGGTGCTGGCAGATTACGGGCCTCCCATCCATGCTGCTGCCAGGCCCGTAATCTGCCATGGGCCCCTGTACCGCCTCTCATGCTGCTGCCAGGTCCAGAGTCTCATGGGTCCCTGTACGGCCTCCTCCCATTGCTGCTGTCTCCATCGCCACCACACTCTGCCATGTGCCACTTTCAGGTCTCCTCACACTGCTGGGTGTTCCATTTTTTGTCATAGGGTGCTGGCAGATTACGGGCCTCCCATTGCTGCTGCCAGGCCCGTAATCTGCCATGGGCCCCCGTACACCGCCTCCTCATGCTGCTGCCAGGTCCAGAGTCTCTCATGGGTCCCCTGTACGGCCTCCCATTGCTGCTGTCTCCATCGCCACACTCTGCCATGTGCCACTTTCAGGTCTCCTCACACTGCTGGTGGTGTGTTCCATTTTGTCATAGGGTGCTGGCAGATTACGGGCCTCCCATTGCTGCTGCCAGGCCCGTAATCTGCCATGGGCCCCCGTACCGCCTCCTCATGCTGCTGCCAGGTCCACAGTCTCTCATGGGGTCCCTGTACATGGGCCTGTACGGCCTCCCATTGCTGCTGTCTCCATCGCCACACTCTGCCATGTGCCACTTTCAGGTCTCCTCACACTGCTGGTGTGTTCCATTTTGTCATAGGGTGCTGGCAGATTACGGGCCTCCCATTGCTGCTGCCAGGCCCGTAATCTGCCATGGGCCCCCGTACCGCCGCCTCCTCATGCTGCTGCCAGGTCCAGAGTCTCTCATGGGTCCCTGTACGGCCTCCCATTGCTGCTGTCTCCATCGCCACACTCTGCCCATGTGCCACTTTCAGGTCTCCTCACACTGCTGGTGTGTTCCATTTTGTCATAGGGTGCTGGCAGATTACGGGCCTCCCATTGCTGCTGCCAGGCCCGTAATCTGCCATGGGCCCCCCGTACCGCCTCCTCATGCTGCTGCCAGGTCCAGAGTCTCTCATGGGTCCCTGTACGGCCTCCCATTGCTGCTGTCTCCATCGCCACACTCTGCCATGTGCCACTTTCAGGTCTCCTCACACTGCTGGTGTGTTCCATTTTGTCATAGGGTGGCAGATTACGGGCCTCCCATTGCTGCTGCCAGGCCCGTAATCTGCCATGGGCCCCCGTACCGCCTCCTCATGCCTCTCATGCTGCTGCCAGGTCCAGAGTCTCTCATGGGTCCCTGTACGGCCTCCCATTGCTGCTGTGTCTCCATCGCCACACTCTGCCATGTGCCACTTTCAGGTCTCCTCACACTGCTGGTGTGTGTTTCCATTTTTGTCAGGGTGGCAGATTACGGGCCTCCCATTGCTGCTGCCAGGCCCGTAATCTGCCATGGGCCCCCGTACCGCCTCCTCATGCTGCTGCCAGGTCCACAGTGTCTCATGGGTCCCTGTACGGCCTCCCATTGCTGCTGTCTCCATCGCCACACTCTGCCTGCCATGTGCCACTTTCAGGTCTCCTCACACTGCTGTGGTGTTCCATTTTTTGTCATAGGGTGCTGGCAGATTACGGGCCTCCCATTGCTGCTGCCAGGCCCGTAATCTGCCATGGGCCCCCGTACCGCCTCCTCATGCTGCTGCCAGGTCCACAGTGTCTCATGGGTCCCCTGTACGGCCTCCCCCATTGCTGCTGTCTCCATCGCCACACTCTGCCATGTGCCACTTTCAGGTCTCCTCACACTGCTGGTGTGTTCCATTTTTGTCATAGGGTGCTGGGCAGATTACGGGCCTCCCATGCTGCTGCTGCCAGGCCCGTAATCTGCCATGGGCCCCCCTATACCCGCCTCCTCATGCTGCTGCCAGGCCAGTCCAGAGTGTCTCATGGGTCCCTGTACGGCCTCCCATTGCTGCTGTCTCCATCGCCACACTCTGCCATGTGCCACTTTCAGGTCTCCTCACACTGCTGGTGTGTTCCATTTTTTGTCATAGGGTGCTGGCAGATTACGGGCCTCCCATTGCTGCTGCCAGGCCCGTAATCTGCCATGGCCCCCCCTACCGCCTCCTCATGCTGCTGCCAGGTCCAGAGTCTCTCATGGGTCCCTGTACGGCCCTCCCATTGCTGCTGTCTCCACGCCACACTCTGCCATGTGCCACTTTCAGGTCTCCTCACACTGCTGGTGGTTCCATTTTGTCATAGGGTGCTGGCAGATTACGGGCCTCCCATTGCTGCTGCCAGGCCGTAATCTGCCATGGGCCCCTGTACCGCCTCCCTCATGCTGCTGCCAGGTCCAGAGTGTCTCATGGGTCCCTGTACGGCCTCCCATTGCTGCTGTCTCCATCGCCACACTCTGCCATGTGCCACTTTCAGGTCTCCTCACACTGCTGGTGTGTTCCATTTTGTCATAGGGTGCTGGCAGATTACGGGCCTCCCATTGCTGCTGCCAGGCCCGTAATCTGCCATGGGCCCCTGTACCGTACCGCCTCCTCATGCTGCTGCCAGGTCCAGAGTGTCTCATGGGTCCCTGTACGGCCTCCCATTGCTGCTGTCTCCATCGCCACACTCTGCCATGTGCCACTTTCAGGTCTCCTCACACTGCTGTGTGTTCCATTTTGTCATAGGGGTGCTGGCAGATTACGGGCCTCCCATTGCTGCTGCCAGGCCCGTAATCTGCCATGGGCCCCCGTACCGCCTCCTCATGCTGCTGCCAGGTCCAGAGTCTCTCATGGGTCCCTGTACGGCCTCCCATTGCTGCTGTCTCCATCGCCACACTCTGCCATGTGCCACTTTCAGGTCTCCTCACACTGCTGGTGTGTTCCATTTTTTGTCATAGGGTGCTGGCAGATTACGGGCCTCCCATTGCTGCTGCCAGGCCCGTAATCTGCCATGGGCCCCCGTACCGCCTCCTCATGCTGCTGCCAGGTCCAGAGTCTCTCATGGGTCCCTGTACGGCCTCCCATTGCTGCTGTCTCCATCGCCACACTCTGCCATGTGCCACTTTCAGGTCTCCTCACACTGCTGGTGGTGTTCCATTTTGTCATAGGTGCTGGCAGATTACGGGCCTCCCATTGCTGCTGCCAGGCCCTGTAATCTGCCATGGGCCCCCGTACGCGCCTCCTCATGCTGCTGCCAGGTCCAAGTGTCTCATGGGTCCCTGTACGGCCTCCCATTGCTGCTGTCTCCATCGCCACACTCTGCCATGTGCCACTTTCAGGTCTCCTCACACTGCTGGTGTGTTCCATTTTGTCATAGGGTGCTGGCAGATTACGGGCCTCCCATTGCTGCTGCCAGGCCCGTAATCTGCCATGGGCCCCCCGTACCGCCTCCTCATGCTGCTGCCAGGTCCCAGTCTCTCATGGGTCCCTGTACGGCCTCCCATTGCTGCTGTCTCCATCGCCACACTCTGCCATGTGCCACTTTCAGGTCTCCTCACACTGCTGGTGTGTTCCATTTTTTGTCATAGGGTGCTGGCAGATTACGGGCCTCCCATTGCTGCTGCCAGGCCCGTAATCTGCCATGGGCCCCCGTACCGCCTCCTCATGCTGCTGCCAGGTCCAGAGTCTCTCATGGGTCCCTGTACGGCCTCCCATTGCTGCTGTCATCGCCACACTCTGCCATGTTGCCACTTTCAGGTCTCCTCACACTGCTGGTGTGTTCCATTTTGTCATAGGTGCTGGCAGATTACGGGCCTCCCCATTGCTGCTGCCAGGCCCGTAATCTGCCATGGGCCCCCGTACCGCCTCCTCATGCTGCTGCCAGGTCCACAGTGTCTCATGGGTCCCTGTACGGCCTCCCATTGCTGCTGTCTCCATCGCCACACTCTGCCATGTGCCACTTTCAGGTCTCCTCACACTGCTGGTGGGTTCCATTTTGTCATAGGGTGCTGGCAGATTACGGGCCTCCCATTGCTGCTGCCAGGCCCGTAATCTGCCATGGGCCCCCGTACCGACTCCTCATGCTGCTGCCAGGCCCTGTAATTTGTCATGGGCCCCTGTACCGCCTCCTCATGCTGCTGCCAGGTCCAGAGTGTGTCATGGGTCCCTGTACGGCCTCCCATTGCTGCTGTCTCCATCGCCACACTCTGCCATGTGCCACTTTCAGGTCTCCTCACACTGCTGGTGGGTTCCATTTTGTCATAGGGTGCTGGCAGATTACGGGCCTCCCATTGCTGCTGCCAGGCCCGTAATCTGCCATGGGCCCCCGTACCGCCTCCTCATGCTGCTGCCAGGTCCAGTGAGTGTGTCATGGGTCCCTGTACGGCCTCCCATTGCTGCTGTCTCCATCGCCACACTCTGCCATGTGCCACTTTCAGGTCTCCTCACACTGCTGGTGGGTTCCATTTTGTCATAGGGTGCTGTACGGCCTCCCATTGCTGCTGCCAGGCCCGTAATCTGCCATGGGCCCCCGTACCGACTCCTCATGCTGCTGCCAGGCCCGTAATCTGTCATGGGCCCCTGTACCGCCTCCTCATGCTGCTGCCAGGTCCAGAGTGTGTCATGGGTCCCTGTACAGCCTCCCATTGCTGCTGTCTCCATCGCCACACTCTGCCATGTGCCACTTTCAGGTCTCCTCACACTGCTGGTGGGTTCCATTTTTGTCATAGGGTGCTGTATGGCCTCCCATTGCTGCTGCCTCCACCGCCACACTGTGGCTCCACACTCTGGTTTTGGCCCGTGACTGCCCAAATGAGTGAAGTGTGCGGTGATTCTAAGATCGACGGCACTCATCTGCATGTCATACTGACTGACAGTATTATTTCTCTTCCCCAGCAGACTCCAAGGGCATTTAAATTAAAGGTACAGTGTTCTGCACTAATATAAAGGCTCTCTGAAGCCTAGAAACACCCTTTTATAAGTTAAATTCGCAGCGAATATATTCGCCCTCGAATCGAATTTATTCCTCAAATTCGCCGAATCAGCCGAATCGAATTTTTGAATACTTCGCTCATCTCTACTCGTGATCATGATTTTAAACAAGGTTTCTTGAATTTAAGCAGATTATATATTAAAAAATATATAATATGGTGGTGCATTGTGTACTTTGAGAGATATATGAAAGCAAATATTTGCCCATTTGCACCATGTATTAAAATTTTCCTGCAAATCCCACAGATTTATGAGAATTTGAAGGCAATATGGGAAAATATTTTAGAGAATTGTAGTAAATAGATGATGAGGATTCTGTGTGACTTTTACAAGCAACAAACAAAAATGATTGATGAGAATCTTCAGAGATCTTTTTCATCACTCCAGAGGGTTTAAAATATAATAAAGAGTTTTTGTTTGAATTGATAGACAATAAATTCGAGCATTGGATCTGTAAATGTGGAAAATATGCACTGTCAAAGCATTGGTTCGAAGTGGCACATTTTGTTATCTCTGTGGAATAGCATCAGGAGATCAGCCACATTGTTCTTGTATCAGGAATCCAAAAAGGTGGACACCCAATAGTATTCCCTCTCCTTGTTTACCGGAATGTGTGATCCTTGCTTAGGTGTTGGAGCATAATGAACCCCATATGCAACATGCCCAGAAATGTCCCACCCAAAATTCATACTAGACCCTTATCTAAGCGTGAAGCTTGGCTGGCCAGTAAAGAGTTGGACAGGCATGCGCCACCTCCCTTGAGCCATACCAAGCCACATGCCCTCAACATGGGAGGAACTCTTAGGAATCTTGCCAAGAAGTACCTCCCTCCCATTTAGATATTTGTAGTTGGGGTCTATATCTCCCTTTTTACTAGGGCTTGCCTCCCCATAAACAGGGGTCCCTTCGCTTACCAACCCTCCTCCGTTGCTGACATCACTTTTAGGTCACATGTGTTACTCATAAGATTGTCTTAAAAAAGTAGTTTTTTTTTTAGCTTGGACTAAATCAGGTTGGGGTTATGCTGTATGTTAGCTACTTTTAAAATAAAACAATTCCACAACCAAATATGCACTGCCAGTCTGCGTGGTCTCTGAGGATGTTCAAGTTCTTTAACATCATGTACAGTTTTAACACATTCCTCAAATCTGCCATTTAAAGGGTTTATGTATCCTCAATGTTGTCCTTGAAGCCAAATGAAAAGGCGAATATATACAAACAGTGTAGCGCTAAATAATATGAATATAAATATATAAATAAATGCTAAACATAAATATAAAGTGTGACACACTCAATCCCTCTAAACAACACACTATAAGGGATACAAAAAATTAGTGCAACACGTGACTTCCCTCTAAGGGAACATAACAAGTGCCAGTTATGAACAGTGTCATACAATGAATAGTGAATACCAAAACTCAAATCTGTAAGCAAATTGTATAACTTATAAATCATAAAATCCTAATTTGCAAGTCCATAAACAATAAATATATACTGATGGTGCTCCAACTTGACTCGCATGCAAGTGACAATGTGTAAGTGACCAATACGCGGCAATCCTTTAGTGGCCAAAATGCCCCCCCTCACCTCCTACATCGACCCCACAGGGTCAGCTCGCTTAGGGGATCACACTGACCTATTAAGGGCAGAATCTTCACAGGCTCCCCTCAGTGGTGGTAAGCGCTCTTCACTCACCAAACCTCCGTATAGCTCACAGCAAACCTCTCCCAGGATCATATTTAAAACAAGAAGATCCTCCATAGTGTAATATGTATTTATTAACTAATTGTGCATATAAAACATTAAAATGCCCACTTTACATGTTCCTTCCTTCACAAAAACGCTATTTCACCTCATGCTAAAGTGTTCTGCATGGGTATCAATAAAGGTGTTCAAATATGGCCCCCACGCCCGGATAGTGACGTCACCGCGTACCCGGAAATGCCTCCTAGCGTACCGACGCGTTGCGTCACGCTTGACATGTGACTTCCTCAGGGTAAATGAAAAGGCACTCTCCTTCCTGTCCATGATATAATTCACTTGATTACACAAAGTAGTTTTGCAGTGATCATAGATACTGTTTTTACTAGCACACGTCAAAGTTACAAATTTGGGTCTTGGGTGTTAAGGCTTGTTTTACCCTTTGTCATGAGTGGGTTAAGATAAGAGGTTCTCATTCACATAAAAAAAAAAAATATAAATAGTAAATACTGACACCAGACTTTTTGGACAATCCTGACATAAAAAATAAAAACTTCAAAAATGGTCCCACACTGTACATCTATCATCAATCATAGTGTCCACCAATCACTATGTATGATGCTTGCCAACCCGAGGAAAGAAAGAAAATCGCACCAACACAATCCGCTTCCCTTACTATGTTCATGCGAATAACATCTCCTGGCCCTCCACTAAATGTAAACAAATGAGTGTGGTCTCCCCGGGTGATACAATGTTGGCCATAAGTCTGAGTCAGTGATGTTAGAAGGCTATCCCTACCCTAGGGATTAAACAAGCAAGTAAATGAATAAAAGATGGGCAACATCACTGGGTTGTCACTAAGACATGTGGGTGCCGCTACTGTAATGATGTGAGTGGCTCCTGCCAAACAGCACAAAGTCTGGCATTCAAATGAACACCCAAAAACCCAAAGTTTTTGCTTTGCTTAAGTTCGTGTTTGGACTGAGGACATATTTTCTTACCATGATTTTTGTATTAACTATAACGCATATTAGTATTATTACATACAGTTTTACATTTCTGTTATTTAATTAATTGATGTTTATAATAATAATTCTTCTTATTTTTTGTTCATGAGGTGGGTTATTTAGTCTATTTAAACAGGGCTATTAGGGGGATTTATGGAAGAAGGCAGCAGAAATGGTCCAACTTTGTTGTCCTTCGCTAGAGTGTTGGGGTTTCTTGCCTACTTAGTTGTGTCTACAGGTTCAGGTCCTTGAGAAGTGTTCAGAGCTTTGGTAAGCCCAGGATCAATGGCAATGAATACACGAAAGGAAGCTAATTTGGTATGAGCGCTCATGTGTGACCCCTCACCTCTTCTGTTGACTTTGACCCCATTGTCAACAGTGCTATTTACCATACAGCAATTGTTTTTTGTTTTTATTTTTTCTTCAAAATCCTGAAAATAGTAATTATTTTATAATAGGTGGGGTATTTAATACACTATAAAATACAACTTTTTTAATAAAAAATTTACAGAGCTATTTATCCAGTAGAAATAATTATACATTGAATGAGGGAAAAAAAACTGTTATTATTCTTTTTATCTCTTCCAAGTATGAATGTTTTTTTTTTAATTCTTGACAAAATACACTATCAAAAAATAGCACATTCTTGTAACTAGATTGAGCTGACCATCATAAAAATAAGTACACTGTATTTCTATAATCGTCAGCTCCATCTAGTGTCTGTATTGTGGTATTTTTCCCAAAAATCACTTGATTTTATAATGAATGAATAAACATATCGACTTGAAAGAAAATAGCCTGTTAACATTAATAATTTTTGCTCCTGTTCACAGAGAACGAATGTACATGCTCTTTCATTCTAATGCATTTTAGCTCTGTAAATTTCATTCTTAAATACACCTTTATCTAGTGTGCAGCAATATTTAGCGCTGGGTATTTACAATGATCAAATTCAATAGATCATTATTATTATTATACAGGATTTTATAGCGTTCAACAGTTTGCTCAGCGCTTTACAAAATATAAAGGGAGACAATTCAGCAACAATACAGTTCAATAAAAGAGGATTAGGATGGCCCTACTCCTTGGAGTTTACAATCTAAGAGGGGGGCTGTGATCACACAAAGGTAAAAACTTGTGGGGAATGGACTGGGAGAGGAATAGAAGATGTTCTTATTAGCTTTAGCTGAAGGCAGGCTAGGCTTCCCTGAAGAGATAGGTTTCAGAGATCGCCTAAAAGTGTGCAGCAAGTAGGCGATTAGATTCGAATAGATTGGGGTAGAGAGTTCAGAGCGATGGGGGAAGCTCTGGAGAAGTCTCCTGGAGATGAGTCCATGGGAGGAGGAGTACTAGGAAGCTTAGAAGAGTTGGAGGTCATGCGAGGAGCATAGAGGACGGTTTTGGTAATATTAGGACGCAAACTGGTGATGTAATTGGGGGCAGAGTTAATAAATGGTTTTTAATATGTGATTGTTAAGTGTTTTGAATTTTATTTATGGGCAATCTGGGAAGCCAGTGGAGGGAGTGGGCTGAGAGGGTGGCAGATATTGGAAACAGTTCGTAAGGTGGATGAGTCTGGCAGCAGCATTCTGATGGTTAGACTGAAGAGGGGATTAGCTTTGCGATGGGGGTAGGCATCAATGAGGAGGAGTTACAGCGTAGTCAAGGTGAGATATAACCAGGGAGTAATATGTTTGCTTAGTAGTTTTAAAGGTTATGAACGGGCGATCATGGAGATGTTGCGGAGGTGAAATCTACATGATTTGGACAATTTTGATTTGGATTATGGGCTGAAAGGACAGATGGAGTCTAGGATTTACACCTATAGTACCCTGTCATGGGGAAGGGACTGATGGTTGCATTATTGAATCTTGATGGAGAGAATCAGAGAGGGGGCACAGGCTGGAGGGAATAGTTATGAGAAACTTCAATCAAATTTCGAAAGATTGAGTTTTGAGGAAGTGGAGTGACCATCCATGCCGATATGTCACTTAGTAGGTTAGTAATGCGAGAGGAGACTGAAGGGGTAAGTGAGGAGTAGAAAGATTTTAAGAGATGGTAACTTAAAGCCATGGGAGTTTATCAAGTGACCAAGGAAGGAGGTGTAGATGGATAGAAGAAAGGGGATCTAAGGACTGGAACTTTGAGGGACCCCTACAGAAAGGAGGAAGTGGGAGGAGGAGACAGAGTTATAGATAATGCTGAAGGACGCACTGGTGATAGGTAGGTAGAACCAGGAGAGAGCAG